CTCTAGCTGAGAAGCACCCTCCATCCACTTCCCCTTTTCCGTGTGCCCAAAAGCCCGCCCGCCCGGTTTATGAGCCCCTTTCCGATTCCCTCACCCAATCTCATGAGAAGCAAGCCCAGCAGGCCTTGCCTTAACCTGTCCCCAGACAGCCAGCCCGAATGAAGGGAAATAAGGAAAGAAAGCTCACATSCCAGAAGCACCAGAATAAGCCTAACAATAACTACTAATAAAGAGCATTCTCCCCTGACTCTAATGCCCCTCTAAAGAGGGTACCTTCGATCTACTTACTTGAACCAGCTTAAAGGCGGTACCAAGATTCCATTCATCAGTCAGTTTGCTAAAAGGGAAAGGAAGGTCTTTAGCCAGAGAGAAGCCCTACGCTGAGGGGATACTAAAACCCGAGGGAAGTCGTCTCCTCCGAGTGCAGTGGTGTYCTCCTTAAATCACTAGAATTTGGGATTATCTTTTCTTGCCTTGTGGTGAAGCACAAGGGAAGAGGAAGCTAGTCCGAAAGCTAGTACCAAACTAGAGAAGCAAGGCTTAATAACAACCATTCCACTAGCCTTGACTGACTATAATCATTCCCAAGGAGCTTACTAATAGGGCTAGCTATAGGGGGCGCGCAACGAATCCCAAGAATTGCGTAATCCCTCAAAGCCTTGCCAATCACTTCAGCAGTGCAATATTACTTGTCTTCTATCAAATAGGAATATCTTAACTCCTTCCATTTGGGCTCCGTTTTTTTTACATTTATCCATGTTTTTTTATTTTTCACGTAAATAAATTAATGATCGTTTTAATCATAAAAATTTATTATTAAATGATATATTTTCGTCCCATCCAAAAGTGTTAACAACTTTCTTCCTAGATGAGAAAGTTATTTATCCATTTAGCAAATGGGTAGCATTTACCCAGAAAAATAAACTTTCCTAATCCCCAAATAAACTTTCTTCCAAAATCACTTTTCTTTCCACACTTCTGTATTTCCTTCCAACGTCAACCTTTTCACTTTGTTAACGTAACTTACAATTACTTCTTGTTCTACCTCTATATTTTTATTGCTTTGTTAGACTTCACCTCTGGTTGACATATCAACCTTCACCATCAGATATTCTTGCAGAGACCAACCTCTAACTCGCTCCCTACTTTCCCTCTCTAGAAAATAAACCATTTGTGGTTGTATTTCAAAGTCCCTTTTTGTATTATTTACCTAGAAAATTAAAATATGGGTAAGGAGAAAACACTTGTATGGGTAAATGCATTTTCCCATCTAAGTAATTATAGAAAAATTTGTGGAGTCCATAAAAAATTTATTTTTCCTTATATCACTTATCTGGGTAAGTGATATCCATCTCCCAAATGAGTAAGCAATTAAGAAAAAATTGCAACCACTTTAATGAAACAAAATTGCCTCCTTCAATAATAACTTTTTTTATGGCTAAAAGTTAATTTTGTTATTTACCCACATGTAAATGCATTTCCGTAGATAACAAAACTGATGGCCTAGGTAAATGCAATTATCAAGATAATTAGGCCATGTTTGGTTCAATTCTTATTATTTATCATTCTTACCCAAAATAAAATTCTAAAATGGACAAGAATGAGTAAAAATAGACAGAATGAAAAAATATTGCTATGAACCAAACACTTTTCTTACAAAAGAATTCTTTTAAGACTGGCAAGGGACTTGTGTAAAAGTACTTTTCTAAAAAGAGCTTTTGTGATTTCATAAAAATACTTTAATAAAAATGCTTTTATAAAAGTAAGTATTTTTGTAAAAGTACTTTTATAAAAATACTTTCATAGAAGTGTTTTTATAGTACTTTTAAAAGTACTTCCATGAAAGGGCTTTTATAAAAATTCTTTCACAAAAATACTAAAAGTACTTTTATTAAAGTGTTTGTGTAAAAATACTTTTATAAAAGTGCTTGTGTAAAAGTGTGTAAAATTACTTTTATAAAAATGCTTTCGTAAAAGTACTTCCATGGTAGTCCACTAATAAACATATATGGCAACAATTTTATAGGCAGAGTTTCCTCAAAAAATGAAAATGAACAATTTGAGACATGATTATTTTTCATGCTGCAGACTCTCAATTTTTGTGTTGTGAGCTCATTTTTCATTCTAAAAGGAATATAGCCCATGACAAGAATTTTATAACCAACCGATCTAATGTTATTCATTCTTGATCATTCTTGCCGATTCTTACCCAAAATGAATAAGAATTAAAAGAATGAAACTCAGAACAGTGAACAAAACATGACCTTACCTTCCCAAAAAAGAAGGCAAAGCCTTTCCCCATTTAACAAAATAAATAAATGTTCAAGTACGATACTGGAAAATTTTGTAACCAATCAACAGGGCCCTTCCAGTATCATGTCTTTCCCGCAGCATATTATGTTAATCTTGGGTCACAGCGTTGGTCAGGTTTGATCAGTAAGATCAGAAATGGTGGGGAAGCACAAAATTGCCCAGCAAATTTTGGCTTATAAAGGTTAGGCCTTTGTGTCCACTTTTTTTTTTCGAAAAAGTACAAGCCCAACGCAGATATCTGATTTCCACTGCATAGCTATAAACATTCAAAATGTCAAAAATCCCCACTCTACACACCAATGCCCGCTGTAGAGTGGATAAATTGAGTGATAAACGTAAGGGATACGGATCTCTCACCATGCGAGCATTCTCATCTGATCACATCAATCATTTCTCCCTGCAACAAACACCAAAAAATCTGCACATACCACAATCATTTCCAGATTTTCACTGTTCCAAACAGTGAACCAAATTATTAGCAGTAGCTGTCAAGTTTGCAGAAATTTGTGCAGCTTAAACAGAATTCTATACTACCACATCCAATGTAGAAAAGAAGAAAAGTATCTACATAAACTAATGAAACAATTAAACATGAAAATCCTCTCAGGGAATCGGGGTTGAACCATATAGGTTCCACCAGTGTCTGAAACCATTTCTATAAGATCATTTTTGCATGTATAGAAGAAAGTAATTAATTAACTTGGAAAAACTCCTACATCTAATGCATTAAAAATCAAGACAGAAGAGGCAAATGAAATCCTGAACTAAACATTCTCATCATCACTCCTTACTCTTGTCAGCCAATTTGTACTTTCATGAAGCTTTTTACTCCTCCCCCTAAGCCAATGATACTTGGCAAGTCTTATATAATAGATACCTCATTTGCTGACCCTACTTTGTGGACCAACTTGCTTACATTTCCTATGCCGAATGTTGTGAAAGCCTTGTTACTGTTATTCACCATTAGCCACCAACTTGCTCAGATGGATTCTGGAGCACTGAATATTACAGGTAGCTTGCTCAGATCCCAGAACTCCATGCTTGGGGACATGATGGCCACAGCCAAAGCAACTCCCCCAATCACCACCATACTCTTCAAGCAGCCATGACCACGTGATATTCTTCCCAAGATTGCCTTACAGTACTTGTCAGCGTCCTTGATGGAAGCTTGCTCACCAGCATCCCCTCCACTAGCCAAAACTTTCACATTCTAAAAAAACCAAAATTAGACAAATTAGCCTTATAATATATTTTATCCATAACTACTTAATGAAAATATGTACAATGACATGAATTGTGAAAAAAATAATTCAAACATAACAATGACATGATGAGGAAAAATTTAGGTAGTACCCATACCAAATTCTTAGAATCAGATGTGGCTCCTTAATTTAACATAAATATAACTTGAAGGGAAACAATTATATCCACATTTACCTTCAGTCTGAAACTCTTGAGAGTCTCTTTCAATGGGTCAAGAGAAGAATGTTTCACAGAATGCTCCTTCCATTCATCAGACAGCTTTTGCAGAATGACAACACTCGCCTCTATGTTATCCAGGTAAATCTTGTCCTGTTTCCACCATGTCACCAAGAAAAAGACCAAAAGTCATGATACAGCAGCTATGAGCCATCCACTAAGTGTAAAGTGCAATATACTAATGATTCAAGTTGCTTACCCAGATCTTGTAGCAATCAGGGTTTTGAGTCAAACACCAGATAAAAACAGCAGCTGCTTCTTTGGATAGTTCAGAAGTGCCTGCAAAAGGGAGTTTTCTATGTCAAAATCTGAAGTATTATCTGACCTCATAAGAAAAAGGCAATAAAGGGCGTCCATGAAAAATGGAACATACTTTCCCCGGCTGCTTGAACTGCAATACTGAATATTTGCTGAGAAATTTGCTTCATTGCTTTACTTCCAGGGGCACCAGAAAGTGCCAGCTCCTTCAAGGAGGGATATATTGCCTCAAACCTTTCAGTAGCCTGCACAGAAACAAGTTCAGAAGACTGCCTTCAACTCCTAGCAGTATAACAGGACCAATCAGATTGCATTTCAATGATCTAATCCTACAAAAACTTCCTAACAAAACCCACCTTAACTCGAGCTGAAGGAGCAGGGAAAGTGCTTCGCATCAACATCTCAAAAGCTGAAGGTGGCACCAACCGCTCCCCTTTTCTGACAGCACCATTCAATAAAATAGACCGAGCTTTGGGGGCAGACAAAATTCTGCATCAAAGAATACAAGAAACTTTCAGATCCACAACACAATATACTAATGGGAAGATTACATTTCAACCAAACATTCACACCTTTCAACTAACTGCAAGACCAAGTCTCTGGATTGTGGATTACAGTTTTTCCCATTGACTATAGGCAAGAGGTTATGTACCCATGCAAACATTCCTACAACCAAGTCTCCTTGACAAGCCTAAATAAATCGATTTTAGTATCAGGTATAAAGAGAATATAAACACAATTTATTTGTAGAAAATCCATATACCAAATTATCAATTCTTACCTGAGCAATCATCCATACAAGAAGTGGAAGTTTATCTTGCCCTTGATACTTGACATTCTCCCTCAATACTGGCAATATGCTGATTAAGATGTCAGGTTTACGTCGCAGAACCATTGCTAAAACTACAAATATAGCGACCTGCAACTCAAGATATCAATTAAACATTAACCTGTGAAAATGCTAAATAATAAAGTAAAACATTATCAGAAAAAATTTTTGGTACTGGATGCAAGTAAAGATAGCCAGGGAATAGCAATTACATTACACATGTACATTCACAACAGTCTTTTCTGGGACAAGTGACAGTAAAATTATTGAGAAAGAAAATATATACTTCACTACTCTCCAACATACATATTGGAGTAGGATAATAGCAATACAACAGCCATTAACTAACAGCTCCGTAGCCTCCATACATTACAAAAAGAAAACAGCAACAGGTTTTTCCCTAGACCCGGCATTCCCCATTATAGCTCTCTCTTGTTAACTCCCATCCTAGCTAGACTATCTGCTAAACTGTTAGCAGACCAAGGGATCATCCAACTGAATAAGCAATTCAGATTGGAAGACAAAGCTGTAGTTTCTTTAATTTTATATCCAAGAAACCAAGATCCTTCAGGTTCTTTATTTTGATAATTTCCTTTGCCCAAATGCAACAAAATCACTGATGAGGTTCTTTCATACTCATTTGGGGGTGATTTAGTCACGAACAATACAGTGCCAGATTTATGTTGCTTTACTTCCTCCAAGGTTAATAGTGCACTAGATTAGTAGCGAACAATGATGACAGATCAATCTTCAACTTGGCCTTCTTAAAGGAGGCTGATTATAAGGGCATGATGCAGGGCAGGTACATGATATACCTCTGAATCTAGATACGTTGTTTACAGGTAAAACTATGCACCCTGGCCATAACTAAAGTAAAAAACACATCATGGAGAACAAGTGAAACAGAGCATTTTTAATAATATTCTAAGACCAAGTTGCATAGTAGAGCAACAGTTAACAGATGGTTCAGTTGTAACAAGAGAAGGGAGGAAGGAATTAAACATTCAAATTATATGGTTCAAGATTCAAGAATTAATTCATTCTACACTTTGATCTAATACTCCATGGCCATTCCGGATCTGCTACCTACAATCTGTTCCCACATCTCTACCCATTGAACACCACCATTGTGTATTAGGAACAACTCCCAATGAATGACAAGGGAGATATTCCCAATGCACAGTTGTAATGTGCCGTGGATATAGATGTGGGAACAGATTTTGGGAAGCAGATCCAAGCCTCTCCATGGCATATATTGAGTTCAACTATCGAACCAACAGTTTAACCATAAGCCATCTCTCCCTTTTGGGTAGGCTTTCTTGCCCAGGGGTCTTAATGGATTGGGGAGGGGGAACCCACTGGCATTTTGATTTTTGGGATACAGATTAACAACTTGAGAATGAAATTTGTGAGTATGTGTGGGATATGCAAAGAAATATCATTTGGTGAAATGGGGTACAGTTTGCAGAACTTAAAAAGATGGTGGGTTTGATTTTAGAAGGGTGAGAACATTTAATAAGGTTTTATTGGGAAAGTGGTTATCGAGATTTGGGTTGGATAAGGAAAGGGGAGCTTTATGGAGAAAAGTAATGACATGCAAATATGGGGTATCTAGCTTCGAGTGGGACGCTAAGGAAGTTTCACATTCTTATCGAGTCTGTATTCGAAAAGGAATTATGTCACTTCAACAGTAGGGGTGCATCATAATTGCATTCTGGAAAAAATCCCTACATTTTTTTATAAACAAAGTACTTACATTATTTTTTTGGGTCATTTTTCTCCTAATTTATCTTTGGCATAAACAATAGGATAATTCAAGGGAAACAACAACCAAAGTTCAGCCAAATTATAAAAATGCAGCATAGGAAACCCAGTCTAAGTGCATATAAGATCTAGATTCAGAGGGTATCATAGCAATCACTTTCCTTTAACAAAATACCAAACTTTCATAAGTTGTCATAGGAAATAAAAAAGGAAAACCAGTTCCACTTACTAGGAAAAATGAAAAAACAGAAGCATATAATGTCTAATTTTTATTTTATTTTATTGAAAAAGTTAGGTATTTTATGTCTATTACTCTAGGAAAATAAGACAATACGCAAGTACTCCCTCAAATTACATCAAGATTGATCTTACAAGCATACCATTTTTCTAAAAAGCAACAGCGAGAAGATTGCACTCAGTGGTCACACCTTGTCTGAGCATCTCCACTTAGAAATTATAAAAATGGGAAGGGAAGGAAGAATATTTGATGAAGCCTTCTCATCTAGTGCTATATAATGCCCTTTGCATCAAGGAAAATTTCAAAGGATCTTCTCTTTTAAATTATATTTATTTTTTATAAGTGTAACAGGGTTCTTACTTTATTTAGTTCTTCGGATTTAAAAATAATTCCAGTCTCTCTATGTTGTTTTATTTGACACACCTTCTCATGATCTCATCTAATGTTATATAATGCTCTTTGCAAAGACTCCAAAATCCATGCTTGATTTATGAGCATTTTCTGGTTTTTCGGAAGTTGAAAAAGAGATAATACAAGGAACAATAGAACATATCATTTTCCAATTACAAGAACAAAGCACCATCACAATTTGTTAGAATTGTAATATGCTCAACATAAAACACAAACATGCATCAGAAAAAAGCTTGTAGAGCTGAAAATTACCTGAGACTTTGATGGTGCCTGATGAACTACCTTCTTGGAGCCCCTAACAAAACCTTGTTGATGTGCTAGGTCAGTAAGAATGCTGTCCAGTGACCATAAGACAAAGGAACTAAGGGCATCAGGAGATCGCTGACTTATCCAATCACTTGAGATCTTATAAACATCCTCAGAAATATGTGACAAAGGAATCTGTAAAAAATTGGCAAACTAGTTAAGCTTCCAAATGTGAGGAGGAAACTGTGGTTGAGCATCCTAAATAAATAAATAAATAAATAAAGTGGATACCTGAAGTCTGTCTGTACAACAAATAGAATAAAGAAATGAGATACAAATTAACCAGTGGTGGAATAAATTTGCCGGAACATGGCAGTTCATTTTCTTAATTCTTTAGTCAAAGAGTATGAATTCAAGAACATATCCTGTCAGTAAGAATTTGCATCGGACTACAATACTGTCAGGGCACATTAATATTTCAAAAATCAAACAGCCAAACATCATCCAATAATTAAACAAAAAAGGCTTATAAGTTACCAAATAAACCATGATAAGCACCAATTCAGAATTTTATAAACTAATAATATCTCTTAAACATTAAACTACTAACTCAACTCGTTGTCAAAATTAGGCATGCATGACAAATATTCACAGATGAGCAGGTTGTATGGATGGGCTACAAGTGGTAAAATACGCCATGATAAGCAAGCAACTTGTGGAGGTGACTGACAGAACCAATATACGACCATATACCAATCCAACAACTGCCATATCCAACTCCAGGTTGCTGCGTACTTAACTTAAAACTGCAGTATACATTATTTAAGCACGAAACCACAAAAACAGAATGCAGATACAGGGGATAACAAATAACAAATACAGAAAAGAACCAAGATAAAAACAAGTTAATGCAAAAAACTAGTGGAATAAAAAGGTTTTCTTCAAGCCTATCCGGTAAATGAAGGTCAAAAATATAGATATACTGGATATTAAGTAAACCCTTTGCATTGATCACAAACGAGTATAATAGTATAATTATAAATAGAGGGAATAAGGAAACCCTCGAGCTACAAAAATTAATAATGGAAACTAGTAGTGCTAAAAAGCAATTCAAGATCTTTCCGGTAAATGGCAATACAAAATATAAGCATGCATGTAGAAAACTCATGAAATTATTTAGCAAATAAAACTTTTTTCCCTCCATTACAATGAATTTGAACCTTCCCATAAAAATATTCGCAAAACTTCCCTAAATTTCTTATTATTTCTTCTTGCCCTTTTCCATTAGATTCTCATGTATGGATAAAAAGTAACAATACATCTGAAATAAGGAGGCAACAGTAACCCACATCTGCGATTTTTGCAACCGTTGACTCCTTGAGCATCTTGGTCCACTGGAATTGAGCTGCGCTAACTGAAGCGAATACCCGACCAAAATAATCCGCAAAGCGCATTAGCTGAATATCCTGCTGCGATTCATATGAAGCCTACGCCAAAGAAAATGATATTTTTTAAATCCAGAAAGTCAATTATGAAGAAAAGATCGAAACTTTTAACAGATCATATACTGAATTAGGCGACAGATCAGAGCAAATCAAATTAAAAATGCAAAATTCAAGAATTAAGAACATACAGTAACGTCAACAAGGTGTGCTGCCAGATCAGAAGCATCGATCTTGGAAGCCGCCTCGGCTACAGTAACCTTGAGCTTCTTGGGCTTTTTCTGCTTCGGCTTCTTCACTTCACTGGCCGCATTCTCGCCACCACCAGCAACCTCGCCATCGCTGTCATCGCCATCATCGTCAGAATGGTGTTTCGGTTTGGGAACGGGCTCGGAAAGAGCTGCAGCCGCGGCCGCCTTCTGAGCCTCGACACGGCGGCGGCGCTCCTTGGATTGTTCTTCGAGAGACTGAAAAACGTTGAGGTTGTCGCCGCCGACGACGACTCCGTTGGGGCGGAATTTGCCGGGATCGCCGGCGGAGTCAGAGGGTTTGTTCTTTCGCTGGCGTTTCGCGTAGGTAACCTTCTGCCAGCCATGGTCTTTATTGGTGGAAGAAGCATTGTTCAAGCTGTTCTCATCGTCTTCGTAGAGAGTTGGTTCGACGGCCGGTGCGGTTTTTTCGTCCATGATTCTCTATCCTCTGGTTCTTCTCTCTTGAATTTCGAATTCGTTTCTTTATTCTCTCTCCCCCTCTCCCTCTCTACAGATATCTTCTCGTGTTCTTCGTCGACGAGGGATCACAAGAAACTGAAGAGAAGGTCTCGCAGGGAGAAAGAAGAAAATGAGCGAGGGAATGTCGAGGTCGTAGTTGAGAAGAAGAAGAAGAAGAAGAAGAAATCGCACGAAACAATTAAAAAAAAAAGGCTCTCCGCCGGTTCTTCCCTTCGTCGTCGTCGGACAGGTGGAGTTTAAGTGTGGAGTCTCTCCTGATTTGACCAACATTACCTCCAGATTTACAGGAATACCAGTATTCATCTGAGACCAACTGATGATGACTCATGAAATTGCCGCACCTAGGATAATATCATACTTCTTGTTTCACCCAAAAGAATTTCACTCTTCGCTGTCTCAACTCTCAAGATCTCCAACGACAGCGACTTGCACGTTCTTATCAACCCACTGTTCCACTCCCTACCATCATGACAGGTAACACCATGTGGGTCCTATGTTTTCTGGAGCCGATGGATAGGAATCGATTGGTTTAGATGAGTAAAATCATTGACCGTTCGTTGGAGTGTGGTAGTGTTGAAAAGGTCGACTTTTTGAAGTCAAAGGTGGAGTGGCGGATTGGTAAATATGGGTGGGTTGGGCGGTCAAATTGTACAAGTACGTCCTGTGCGTTCTTGTTCGGCTTGCCGAGAGAAGAGTCCGCACGCAGAAAAGAGAGAAGAGATCCGATAAAGACGAGGATTATGGTCTCTCACGTGGCTTGTGAGTGGGGTCCACTACCGGCGACTTTTTGTGGCCTTACGATAATCCTTCTTCCTCTAGTTTGAGTCTTCGTTGTTATCTGGGGAGCTCCTGATCTGGTAGTATACTAGTTCTATATTAATAGCATGCTGCCGAGGGTTAAAGCGTTGTATTAGCAATCTATGGACGTGATCATATTGAAGCATAGTGTGGTTGAGGACTGAGGAGTAACTTAGCATTGCCAACGGTTAAGTGGGGAAGGAGAGCAAATGAGGAAAGGGTGCTGGACAAGATTCTCTGCAATTAATGTCTTAAAACCGTCTACCGGAAGATATTAATGTTTTAACATCCCATCGGGTCTAAATGGTTAGACCTGCTGACTTAGGCCGAACCCGTCTGAACCGGATATAAATTTTGCATCCATTTGTTTCTTGCAGTTTTGCATTATCTCATATAAAATTTGCATTTTTTTTTCATTTATATGCGCTGGCGGTGCAAATTTTGCAGCCCAAAAATCAATTAAGACTTGCACCACCTACCTCTCACCTCAATTCTATCTCATATCAAATGGAGACCACATCATTTTGATTCTTTTATCACTTCCAAACAAACAATCCTCTTCTTTCTCCTACTGAAAAATAGACTACTTCATATTTTACCTCCCACAAACAAACAATACAAGTGAAATTGGAATCAAAATTAAACCAGAATTTACATAACCTATTTGCAGTTATACTAATGCAAATGAAATTCACAGACAAACTGAGTCTTGGAAAGAGTACTTAAAGTGTGGAACCATGTATTTTGCATGTATTTATACTGTGTTCTTCCCAAACTGACCCTTAGGCTGCATTTGTTTGCGATATAAACACTGAACCAGGGTATTTATGCACTCAAGTTCGCGTTTGCAAGCGTTTGTTTGAAACGTAAAAAAGTAATGATTATCAAAGTAAAATTACATTTTCTGACACTTTTGTACTCCAAAAAGAGAGCATTATATACCTATTTTTTGGATACAAATTTGTATTCATTTGATAATTAACTTTTTGACCAAAGTTGAGGCATTGGAAAATAAGATAGTTGGAGCAGTTAATAATGGGCCCACACCTTTGCACCAATTTCAAACAAATAAGATGAATGCAAAAATGGTTTAAAATGGGAACCGCATTTGTATTCATGAACCGAAAAATAGATAAATATGTAGTGTACATATTTGCATTTGCATTGCAAACAAATACAGTCTTATATTCAATTGCAACAATGCCTAACACCCATTAAGTTGGATGCAATTTCTCTCTTATCCTAATGGTTAAAAAAAGTTGTCACGTTAAAATTTTATAACTACATTGTACAGTGCCATGACAGATGACACGTTTTTTTATTGCCATTTAAGCAATGGCACCTCCACTTATATATTACAACAGAAATAAACAATTCCATATATATATATATATATATATAAGGTTCTATTTGAAATGAATACAAATACAAATATGTAGAGTGTAAAACCTTACATTTTGTACTATTTGCATGTATCTGTATTGTATATATTTGAATTTGTACTCTTTCCAAACTGAACCTAAAGAACGACACCCAAAATGAAAATGAATTGTAAAGAGAAAAAAAGTGAAACAAAGGAAATAAAACAGAAATTAATTAAAGATTAAAGAATAACCAAAAGACTTCTTAAAAAAATGAATAACCAAAAGAAAGAAACAGCCCAGCACAAACAAACAGTATTTATTTATTTATTGCTTCATGGGCTAGCACAAACTAATAGCTGAGCTTCAGATTATTTTTTTTCAAAAAATGAGAAAAATATAGATTAAAAAAAATCACATAATCCAGGCATTCGGTCCTCGGATTCACTTTTCAACCAAAAGGGAATTTGATCTCAAGAAAGATAAGTGTGACGAGTAACTCATTACAATTGCAACCAATTATTCGGACTCATTTACACTCTGAAATGGTTGTAATTTTTTCCCTAAGCTTTTACCTTACTATTCCTTGGTTATGGCCATCTTGCAATCAGAGATTCTAACTCGCTAGTCACTACTCTAATATTTCTTGTTTTTCATACAATCACTAGGCAGTAGTACACAAAAACCTTCTTCATATTTCAAATAAATATGCAAATGCACCCCACTATTAAATGTGGTGGAATGATGATGTTGAAAATTGAAATTATGACTACAACTGTGTTACGAATGTACATTTATAATGAACAACATTGTTCATTCTTCAAATTGTGAATGCCATTTTTTCTAATGGGGGATGTCTATGTTTAACCCGAGCTTTGCCTTTATTGTTCAGTTGATGCATAAAACAGTTTACTTGAATACATAACCCAAGGTTTTTAAAACCAGACCGACATGTAACTGTTATGGGACTGATTCCTGGGTCAAATGGTCTGATCATTTGGTTCGTACAGACAGTTTATTTTAACTTTAATAAACGGCCAAAAATCATTGTTTGGATTAATGATTTGACTGAAGTCAGAGATTTATTGACTAAATTACCAGTTTTTGGCCCAAAAGCGATTTTAGGGTAAAACGGCACCAATTATCTAACCAATTCCCGGGTTTTCTGGTCCGATTCAATTTTCAAAAAACCATGGTATGAACTGAATAACCTGTTATGGGGTAGTTCAGTAAAAAACCCATTTTAACAAAAATAGGATGTTAAAAAATCTTAAAAGCATTATGTTAATGTTTTCCATTTGGACAAATAATAGAACAGGTGTGTTTGCAAGTATTTTAAGAAGCTTGAAGGGTGGTTTTGTGGTTTTGTAGTGGTCAAAGTACTGAAAGGTTTAAGCATTTGTTAGAAAACACAATGGATGTGCAAGTAATTTTACATATAAAGAAATATACATTTCTGTAAATGTAAATTTAGAAAAGGGTGCTATATATGATACAAAATAAATAGCATACTTTATGTACACAGAGACGGATATGGCAGAACTGTGGGCAGTCCATGAAGGTCTTCAACAGGCTCTTGGTAGGGGATTTAGTAATCTGATCATTCAACCAGATTCGAAGTCTACAATCATAGCCCTCCAAAAAAGGAAATATTGCAAGAATCTCTTTTTTATTATTTTAAGTCTTTTGGATAGGGTACAGAACGTAGAATTAAGACATTGCTATAGGGAAGCTTAATAACTATTCTGATATTATCTAAGTCATCCTCCATTACAAGTGCTCATGCTTATGAGAGAGGATATTTCTGGTCCCCCACATTGGCGTAGGTGCCAGACTGTTTCTGGAGTGTAGTTCGTTTATATAATATCAGTTTGAATCAAAATCAAAAAAAAAAAAGGTAGCCTTTTTGCAAATTAAAGGATTTGAAAGAGTTAATGAGGAATGATTTTAGGCCTCGTATATTAACAATTGATATGGCACTCAACAAAGTGGAATCGTGATTAATAGAACTGGCGGAGTTACCCGTGCTGAGCGCGGGCTTGTATATTTGTATGTTTTTTATATTTTTAATGGATAGTCATTAAGTCAAATTTTCCTATTAATACTAGGAGCATATGTGCATGTAGGACTCATCTTTCATAGCAGCGTACAAAGTTTTCCAAAGAGAAAATTTTCCTACTGCTACTTGAATTCACTAACCAACCTACTTAATTTTGAATAAGAAAAACCAGCAAATGGATCCAATTATGAACATAGCAATAATGATAATGACCATGTATTAGATGGGCTATTTGTGAATCCCAACAAAATTTATCTTTAATAGATTTTCCATGAAAAAATGATTTTTAGAATGAACATAGCAACAATGATAATAATCATGTATTAAATGGGCTATTTGTGAATTCCAATAAAATTTATCTTCAATAGATTCTCCATGAAGAATAATTTTTAGAGAAAGGGATAGACTCCATTCTTCTTGTAGAACTCTGGCATCTGGTCAGCCTATAAATATATGACTCTAGCTCATAAAGTCTGTGCAAACAAAGTTCTGAAAGAGCTGGAATTTCTACTAATACATGTCAATCAGAAGCCAAAGATATGCTTATCTGCATGTAATTATTTTAACACCAATCATATGGTAACAAAAGACATTAATTTCACGGTATTAGTACCATGAAATGGTTAAACCTGCTTCCATATAATGGAATGCATCTTTTTATTCTTAGAAGTTTTTTTTTTTATCAATAATAGAACTTATTCTTAGAAGTATTGGTACATTTGTCTTTCCAATTCTGATGCCCATTAAAAAATGGAATGCCCACATGCACCACAACTCTCTATTTAAGTAGACGAGGAAAATATGCCTTGAATAAGTGGTTATCAAAGTACAGATTCAGAATAAACTGTTTGGGCAATACTCATACCTGCCTCCCTTCATCCAGATATAACTGATGTCATTAGAAACCAAAGCATGTTCCAAGTTCCAATACATCTAGAACATCATTCCAACTGGAGAACACAAGGACTTTTGCTTTTGGGTCCGTAGATTTGATCCACAGGATTCTCCTTGTGACTGCTTCAAGCTGCATGG